AATTTGAAATAAGATTTTGGAATTAATTATAAAAAATCCTTCCCATGGGAAAATGCTTTTGTTTTGAATTTAAAAAAAAAAGTTAAGATTTTAAAAATTGGGGACACTAGAGGGAACTAGAGATTACAATTAAAGGAGAAGAACACTTAAACTTGGCTTACAGTTACAGAATGAAGCAAAATATTTATTTATTTATCAAATTTATATGGCTGCCCATCTCACAAGAAGTGACTCTGGACGCCCTACAGCAAAAAAGTATAAAACAATAAACATGTCAAACACAGTCATAATTTTAAAAAAGGACACATGAGATTTTAACATTTTTAATGTTTGAACAAAATATTTTAACATTAGACATACTGAAGGATATTTTTGAACAATGGACCTAGAAGTTAATTTTAATAGTGTCTGCCTCTATAGATAAACTGTGTCTAAAAGATGTTATGGAAGAGGAACAAGTTCTACCTGACAAGATCAAAACTGATATGGAAAAAGATGTTACACTGGACGTACAAATGATATCTTAATAATGAAAAGGAATATACAAACAACAAGCCAAGAGAGTGGCCTCAATAATTTTCCTATATAGGATTTACAAACGGGACTTGCTAAACTTTTGAAAATTTTTGTGAGAAGGGCAAAAGAAAAAATGGAAAGAAGACAAGTTCTACGACCTTTTTTGAAGGGACTAAAGATTAAAATTGTTAGAAGTAAAAGGAAGGAATATAAAGTTGGTTTATTTGATCAAGGTTAAAATAGGTACGTCATTGTTTCTGGTAACTCTTAATGGACTTTTGCTGACATCAGGACTGAAATGACAAAGTTTTATGGATTTGTTTAAGGTGATAAGTTACTAAAATTGTTTATACTTCTTGTGATGAAGGTGGGAAGTCACTTCTTTATATATTTCTTTTATTTTTCTTTACTACATTCTTATTTTTTCTTTCTTTTCTATTTCTTTTTCTATTTTTTCTTTCTTTTTTGCACCTTCCTCTTTCTTTTTATTCTTCTATTTTTTCAGTTTGTATTAGTTTTTACTTTTGTAATTATAATCTTTAATAAAATTGCTATAAAAGAAAAAAGAAAAAGCTGCACTGCAGGAGGGATATTTGGAAAATGGGGAGGTGGAGGAAGAACGGGTTGCTTTTCCACTGTAACCCCTCTTCACCCAAGCTGCCCTTTTGGGGTCGGGTTGGAGGGATGTTTGCATGGGCAAAAAGCATATGGAAGGAGGAACAAATGGAGCCAAAAAGCATTAACTTTTTATCCATCTTTTTTGGGATAGTTTATCCAAAAATGGAATGTGCATATCTGTACCAAAAAAACAGACAATTTTGTAAAAATATAAGCCATATATATGGGCCCCCTTTTCTTTAATCCACTTAATTTGCAACTTGCACCATTAATATTTCTTACCTTTTTATTTAACACGTTAAATCCTGAATCGAGGGTGATGATCCGAAAAAGCACTGCATCACAATAAATGTACATATTTAAAGAACTATTTTGTTTTCTGTCCCATTTTCACAGTAAAACAAAGTGTTATTCAATTCAAGCTTCCACTACCTGAATTCTTACCCTTCTTTTTTCCCCCCAGTATACATTATTATTATTCTATAATAGACAAATTTGACTTCCAGTATCCTAACAGTAAAAACAAATATATACATAAATAAGCTGCTATTTCTGCTCTACTTCTTAAATTA